GGGGGGGTTCACGCTGGATGGACCGCGGCAGGCGGGGCGCGCCTTCCGGAGCGTGGCTGGCGGGGCCCGGCGGGCGGGGCCGGGAAAGGGGCCGTTACTTTCCCAGAGTGGCGGGGAGGGCGACGTCAGGCGGAAGGGCGCGGGGCTCGCACGCTTTAAATGGCATTCGCTGTCATCCGAGCTCGCAGTCGTGTGGGCAGAGGCGGGCTATATAAGCGGCGAGGCGGGCCGCCGCGGGGCACACGGCGACGGCGACAGCAGCGGCAGGGAGCTTCCAGGAGCGCCGCGGAGTAGCGCAGCACAATCCCGCGTCCCCCGACGGGCCCGCCCGCCCGCCATCCCTCCACGGCAGCGCCGGCTCGGGCCAGCGAGGCCCGCCGCCACCCCGCAGCAGATTTGGATCCCCCGCCCGGAGAGCCTCAGGCTGCCGCCTCCCGGGGGACCCCGGAGTCGCGGCCGCCCCCGGAGAGCCCGGGCGCCCCGCCGCCCCCCGGCCCCGAAGCCACCGACGGCGCCATGGCAGCCGCCAAACCTGGCGAGCTCATGGGCATCTGCTCCAACTACCAGGCGGTGATGCCGCACTTCGTGTGCCTGGCCGATGAGTTCCCGCAGCCCGTGCGGCCCGCCAAGCTGCCCAAGGGCAAGGGCCGGCTGCGGCGGCCGCGCCAGTCCCGCTTCAAGACGCAGCCGGTGACCTTCGACGAGATCCAGGAGGTGGAGGAGGAGGGGGTGTCCCCGATGGAGGAGGAGAAGGCCAAGAAGTCGTTCCTGCAGAGCTTGGAGTGCCTGCGCCGCAGCACGCAGAGCCTGTCGCTGCAGAGGGAGCCTCTCGGCAGCTGCAAACTGAGGAACAGCTTGGACTCCAGCGACTCCGACTCGGCCCTGTGAGGCAGCAGCCGATTTGGGGACTCGCTCCGCCACCACGCGCCAGAGAGCAGCGGGCGCACCGGAGGGGACCCGCACCCCGAGGCGGCCCGGACCACCGGGGATCAGCACTCCTCGCTCGTTTTGACTCTTGCCCGGCCGAGGACACGCCGGAGCCCCGGAGCCCGTTCGGGGACGCCAGGGAGGGGAGTCGCTTTCTTTGCCCTTGTAAATGTTTATTTTTTAACTCTTCCCCAGTAAGAACTCTGCTGTGAGTGTGCTCGGGAGGCGGCCCGCGCTGCGTCGGCTCACCGCGACCCTGGGGTCGCCGCTGCAAAGCCTTTGGTTTGCAACTCCGATTTTGCACACCGCTCCACTGTGCCCCACCCCCAGCGCACATCCGTTCACACTCACGCGACACTCTCGCTGAACACTTTTATAATTGTTGGGCTGGCAGAGGGGACTTGGGGCGCAGCGCGCCTGCTGCTGCAGCCGAAGGATTGATATTTATTTTTGCATTGCAATAGCTGAAGGCGTTTTATTTAACGGTCTTTTTACTTGGATGTTGTCTGTGAGGCGTCCGAATGGACACAAATAAAGTCAATATATTTACACAGTGCACTTTTCCAGCCTTTGGACTTCTTGAACCTTAGGGGTCCGGTTTGGACAGCAGAGGAGAAGGAAATATGGATGAGGAAGGGGCAGGGAGGGCCAAGTGGGGATAACCCAGAAAACTTCCGTCTCCAGAGTGAGGCTACGTCTTCGGTGCACCTGCCTACCTAAGTGGGTCCCCACCCGGCCAAGGGTGCTCTTGCCATCCTGGTCTGCTCTCCACATGGCCTGAGAAGTGAGGCTGGTGCTCTGAGGATGGAGAGCGCTCTTTGTGCAGTTGACCTCCCAGGGAGGTCCAGGTCACCTAGCACTCTCTGCCCTTTCCTGACAATGACTTCTTGGTGGTGGTGGTGGTGGTGGTGGTGGAGGGGAAGGAAGTCCTGGGAGACAGTAGGAGACCGAATCCGAACCAACAATGGGAAAGTCGGACTGGGATATTTGAACTAAGGGAGAGCGTGCGTGTGGGTGCACGTTCGCTGTCCCGGCGGGTAAGCGAATCTTCCCTCCCTCCCCCTTTCCCACCCCCTCACTCCGCCCTGACTCAGCTCAGTGCCCGGTGCACCTGTGCTTTGGGTGAATCAGGTCTCTTCCTCCTAGGCTCCTCAGGCTACCATGGAGGGAGAGCCAGCAGGGCGGCGAGGTTCCACGGCATCCCCACCCTTTATCAGCTTGGGTCTTTCTTTGTTGACAGAGTAGGAAACAAGCACAGCAGCCAGGAAGAAACCACAGGGAGAGCCGAGGGATGCAGGCTCTTCTGACTGTGGGTCTACTTTCCCTTCCCAGGGCTCCTCTGTCGCCGCCTCACATTCTACACCCGAAATCCTCCCAGCTAGAGATGTAGCAGTGCTGCCGGGTGGCAGGGAGCGACCGCGGTAACAAACAGCATTCGGCGTAGAAGAGCCGGTACTCAGACCCAGCCCTTGACCAACTGTGCAGAATTCATTAGTCTGTGGCTCACCTGGGCCAGACTGCTAAATCGGAGAACAAATACAAACTCTGCTCAGAGGTAGCCACGTCTGTGTGCTCGGGCGCCTCCTAGTGGTGGGGTTAGAATGTGTGCGTGTGGGGAGGTCTGTCTGTCTGGGGAGGTCTGCCTGCCTGCCTGCCTGCCTGCCTGCCTGTCTTCCTGCACATGGACCATTTAGGAACTGAAATGCCCCTTTTCTTCTCACATTATCTCGTGCAGCCCTACTATCTGCAAGACAGAAAGCAGAGGAAACGAAGCAAACAAAATATGCACACAAGTGAGAAAGGATGACTCCCGGTAGGGAGGGCAGACACAGGGTGCTAGTGACTGGGCTTTTATCCCCATCCTAGCCCCTGAGAACACCATGACACTCAAAATGGCTCCATTGTAGCAGGAAGCCTAACAGACACGCCCTTAGCTGCCAGGGCCTCACTCTTGGGAGGCGACTGTGGTTGATACTAGTTGCTGCCCTTGTCAGGCTGGGCTAGCCTGAGCTCCAGGGCTGACAGGAGGTTACAGCTCCACTAATTCTTGTCTCAGTTCTTCAGCCGTGTCTTTTTTTTTTTTTTTTTTTTTTTTTTGATTTTTTTTCGAGACAGGGTTTCTCTGTGGCTTTGGAGCCTGTCCTGGAACTAGCTCTGTAGACCAGGCTGGTCTCGAACTCACAGAGATCCACCTGCCTCTGCCTCCCGAGTGCTGGGATTAAAGGCGTGCGCCACCACCGCCCGGCTTCA